AGAAACTCATACCAAGGAAGAGAAGCAAGAATGAAGTAAGCTAATTGTTTACCGAGGTGTTCAAAGAGGCAGAATAACATAGCATCAGAACACAAACCCTAACCATAATTGTTATACAGCCACACCAGAAGAAAGACAACAGTGAATGATTGGGTAATAAAGCCGAGCAAAAGATTTAAGAGGGTATTTTCAAAGGAAACAGTCATTATCAGAGAGTCCAAAAAACGTGCATCAATGAGTAATGGACACAATGCAAATAACAGAAGAAGAGGTGAAAAAAACTAGTGAGTAGTGGAGAGTGTGATAGTGGCCCTCTCTGTAATTAGTTTTATATAATATATAAACCACACAATATCCTATAATATGTAAACCCCACATTGTAGTCTTTATAGAGAATAAACTTGATTTGATTTTATTTGATATGAGAGAGCTAGATACCTCTAAAGCTATGGTAACAGAGAGCATCTCTCCATGAGTTCTGGGAGACGGAGCGGAAGCTACAAGACTCAGTCTTCAACAAGTGAATTAATACAGGACAACTGCCAGAGGTGTGAAAAACAGCAGATGTAGTTCCAGTATTTAAGAAGAGCTACAGGCAGTTAACATTAAATTACATGGCAGTGTTACTGAGATGCATAGTATGGAAGGTTGTGGAGGAAAGTCTTCCAGTAGAAGAGAAGTGGAGCACTTGAAGAAGAGCTGGTTCATAAACAACAGTAAGCATGGTTTAAAGATGGTAAATCCTGTCTCACAAATTTACTACAGTTCTAAAAACAAGATAATGGGAGTGAGGCGAGAGATAATAGGAATGTGCTACAGTGGATCAAGAAGAGCTACTGCAATATGGAGATTCTGTGGGTCGAGGCATCTTTCCATTGCCGATATGGGAACTGTTAGGAGGAAGTCCTCAAAGTGTTGTGCACTCACAGTTTGAAGATGGGCAATCTTGCTGTTGGATGTTGCAGCCATGAGCATGTTGTTCATGCACCTTTCTCAGCACTGAGCCCATTCACATCTGAAACCAGTTTGGTAAGCCAGTGCTGGAGTAGCGAAATTCTCCACTCGGTAATAACATGGTGAAGCTTGATCCTGTATTCCTGCTAAATCCTCAAGGTTTGTCTGATAGAATTTTCGTTCACAAGCTCGTCTGATGCATTGGAGGGAGGATAAGAAAGCATAATAATACATCCACCCTCCCCCCACCAGAGCCTGACTGTCCATCTCCAGTACAACTCTGTAGCATGGTCTTTAGCAGAGAGAGTGATTATTCTTGAGTTTTGGGACTGTCGAAGGCAGGGGAGAAGTTCCTCAAAAAGTCAGTTTTGGGAGGGACAGGCACTGGTGAGTGGGTAGAAGACGGTCTAAGGCATACTCTCTTGCACTTGCCTTCCATCATCCTGTGGTCTGAATTTTTTCCTAGATCAGATCAGGAAGCATTGCTGGACCCAAGAGCTACACCAAGGATAATGCTGTAAAGTAAAGAACACAAGTACAACTTTAATGTGACATTTTATTATGGCAACGGTTATGCTCTCCAGGGAACTTGTCAAGCCGTTAATCTGAAACGTTTCCACAATAAAATGTGCACATTTTGTTGCACTTGTGTCCTCTTTTAACTTTGCATATTGTCGGCCAATTCGTACCAACATGATTACAAGGATAATGCTGTTGACTGAATCGATGGCTCATACTCCTCAATGATCTGTACGGTTGGTAGGAATATTTTGCATTTGTGGGGGTTTAAAGATAGGTCTTTTATTTTTATCCTAAGTCCTCTAGGAGAGATTTTGTAGTGCCATCTAGGTACCATCATCCATGAACCAAAATATTGAGCTCACTGGAGTGTGTTTCTGTTGATCCCTTGATGATTCAGACATTGAAAAAGGAAAGGAGGGCAAGAGGGCTCCCCCTGTTGCACACCTTCACATATATATGCAAATAACAAACTTGCACTGGGTCGGACTCGACACCTCGAGCTTTACATGCCACTATTGTAGCCTGTGAAAATTCGAGACGCCCTCTAAACCACTGAATCATCGTTGCATATACAAACAGTGTTTAGTAGCACTAGACCTGTCGACTCCTGTTCTTGCCAGACACATACGTCGCTAGTGGCAGTTGATGGTTCAGTTGTTTAGGGCAGGTCTCGAATTTTCACAGGCTACAAGGGTGGCGTGTTAAAGCTCTAGGGTTCGAAGTTTGGCCATTAGTAGCTGTTATTGTGCCTAAAAAATTGTTCGGGGATACATTAATATAAATAATTTACTATACAATATATATATATATAATAATATATATATATATATAATATATATATATATATATATATATATATATATATATATATGTGTTGTGTAGTGTGGTGTGTAGTTGCCGAATAGGCAGAACTGCGATCTTGGCTTAAATAGCAAACGCCTCATCTTGCCATATAGGACAAAGGTGAAAATTTGTGTATGCAATAATTTCGCCTAAATCCATTATGACCTAACACAAAAATATGATTTCACTGTGTTTGTTTAGTATTAAATTATTGTAAAACAATATCTAAGAAATATATTTAGTTGTGTTAGGACACTTGTAAAATAAATTGCGCTGTGTTATGATAAGGTTAGGTAAGTTTTCTAAGTTCCTTTTGGTTCAAAATTATAATTTTTACATCAACCATAATGGAAAATTTTATCTTAAACGTTTAAGATAAAATGTTTTAGAAAGGACTTAATTTTTAAAACGAGTTCTTGCTAGATCTGACCAGTTTTACATATCGGCACCGACATCTATATAATTAACATACATACATACATATATATATATATATATATATAATATATATATATATATAATATATTATATATACGATTTATATATATATATATATATTTATATATATATATATATGCAAGGAATTCGCGAGAGGCAGGCGAAATATACACAAACACTGATCCTCTGGCTGAAGGAGGACATCGAACCTACGAATATATATATATATTTTTTTTTCAACAATCGGTCGTCTCCCACCGAGGCAGGGTGACCCAAAAAAGAAAAGAAAATCCCCAAAAGAAAATACTTTCATTCATCAGTCAACACTTTTCACACACCTCACACAGTATCATGCTTTTGCAGAGCGTGCTCGAATACAACAGTTTAGAAGCATGTATACGTATAAAGATACACAACATATCCCTCCAAACTGCCAATATCCAATCCCGTCATGGAAAGTGGAGGGTATCTTAGTAATACATTGCCTGGTAAGTGCAGTGTTCGTGAATCACAGGACACACGTTCCTGTAATATGTAAGTAACAGTGAACTCATTTTGCTGAGCGTCAAGAGACATATTTTTTCCCTGAAAAATAAAATTCCACTACCACAAATGAAAGCAGCTTAAATGATTTACCTATGGCTTCTGCAGAGTCCAGTGGAAATATTAAACATTAACTTTGGTGAGGAATATACTTGCGAGCAAGATGTTAGGCGATGAGAATGTGAGAGGACAAGAGAGAGCAACATTTTTCCGTGTGTAATTGTTTCTCAGCTCAGCCAAACTGGGCGTTACTGCCGCCACAGTGTTCAAGCTGAGGAACATAACAGGAGTAGACA